TTTTAAATTTGTAAACAATTTGTTACTATCAATCTTGAACAGTTTTCAATTATCAAACTTTTGAATATATTACTAACCGAACTAATAAAAGAGTCCAATGGACAAGTTCAATTTACTGCTCTGAGTGATCTGTGATAGAGTCTATGCAGACGATAAATCCGCTGTTGAATTAATGAGTGTTTTTCGAGATACAGTATATCGAATTTTTATAAAAATTGGAAAGACGGGGGAAGGTAAATTGCTTTATTTTCAAGTGCATTTTCTTAAATTGGAAACTATTTTATTTACTAAAATCTTTTTCCTGTTGAAGTAAAATTATAATCTGTGCAATGTTTACTTCGATCTTTGAAATCTATATTGGAATTTTGCGATTTGTTTGCAATTTAATAAATATTTTTTAAAAATCTGAACAGTTTCAAGTCAGTTTTTCTGTATTTTTTTATAATATTTTGCCTAAATAGTGCAAAAATTTATATGCTTTAAAACTCTCATGGGCATTAAGAGAGCCTCTTCTTATCAAGTCCATTATGGGTTCGGACAAACATACACTGGACCTGCCTGATGGCGAAGATCAGACCCATCACGTCAAGACAGACTATTTCCGAAAATCAGTTAACATATATTACATAAGAATATTTTCGCGTAATCATATAAAATCACCCAATTATAATATTACTTTTATCTTATTATGTTAAATAAAGTGATAAGTTTATTTATTTTTGATTTAATCTCATCTATAATAATTAATTATCTTCTTTCGATGTATTTACTAACTTGTAAGAGGGAGTTCAGAACGGTGTTCTACGCTTCTTTCTAAACTTCCTCTTAATAAAGCACATCACTTAATAAATCACAATTAGAGTTATGTTACTTACTGGAAATCAGTAAATGAACTTAGAAAAAATTTCATGCTCTCATAGTAGTCCTGATGTATTATCCAAGGACATACAAGGCTTAATAGACAGCTTAGTGCATTTTAAAGATACGAAATTAGACCGTATGTTACATACATTCACAGTAACCAAAAATTTTACATGACCCCTCTATCTCTCCACTTTTTCCATCTTTCACCACCAAAATTTAATACCTCATATACAAGCCACCATGACAAATTTCATTTCTTAATCTTTACCCCATTCTGAGATATTAAACGAAATAGACTCCAATACACACCCACACGCACACTAAAATCGAAACATACAGAAAAAACTCTTTGAATTTTTTTACATTTCTCGGCGTTTCAAGAAGTCCTGAGTCCAAAAAGTTTAAATCTTGAGGGAAGTAATTTTTTGTACCAAAAGCGCCATACCTTCAAAAGTAATAATTAAACTTAAAAGAGAACATTACATATATGCATTCAGTTTTATGCGCTTTGTCACACCTGGGTTCATTGGATCTACAACACAAAAAGTATAACTTCACCTCATAACATCAGTTGAGGGTTAAGCAAATAATTTGATTCAACTTATGTAATTGTTTTCTGATATATAAAGAAAAATAACACTGTTCTGCAAAAAAAAACTTTTTTTCTATTTCTGAAAAAATACATTGTGTTCCTAGTTGTACTTCAAGCACTGAATTCAAACCTGTTTTTAGTTTTTTTCTGTCAGGGATAGTTTATGAGTAATCACAATTTTATTTTTTCTTTGTGTTTCTGATATAGTGCAGGACACATTAGCTGAAATTCAAGAAAAAAATCAGTTTTTTTATGATTTTATTAAGTTCATCATATTAAGGGAGGTTGGGATCTAACATATAACATATACATCTTAGTGTATTTGCTTTGTAGCATTTATTTCACATGAGCAATTACAGAAAATTGACAAAAATGAGCCACCATATAGTAATGCACATCACTTTTTCTCTTGTATTGAGAATCTTTCTTCTCTCAAATGATATTCCAGCAATAATCTGCTAACATAGAAGGTACCCACTTTTCTTCATAACGCCTTTCTATAGTAGAAATGTCTTTATGGAATCTTTTGCCATGTTCATCCGATACGTCACTNTAAACAAATAAAATGTCCGAAAACTAAACTCATTTTGGATAACTTCGATTATGGATATTGCATTAAAGTTAAATATTTTAATTAAGTAAAAATAATAAAATTTATGGCCGGCGTTATTTATGTTCAATACATAAAAATACAAATATGACTTTTTTACAAAGTTAAAACTTTCTGTCTTTCTTTTTTTCGCCGTTTTCACCATCAGCAATCCTTTAAATTAAAAAGTTCATAAAATTACGGAGACGACCTTCCTTTTGAGGCTACTTTCTCCACAACAAAATGTAAAAATAGGAAAAGCGTTCTCTGGTGTTCTTGCCACGTTCACAATAATACATTTTAAGTAAAAATAATAAAATTCATGGCTAGAGGACGTTTTACCTATTTTTACATTTTGTTGTGGAGGTAGTAGCCTCAAAATAAAGGTCGTCTCCGTAATTTTATGAACTTTTTAATTTAAAGGATTGCTGATGGTGAAAACGGCGAAAAAAGGACAGACAGAAAGTTTTAACTTTGTAAAAAAGTCATATTTGTATTTTTATGTATTGAACATAAATAACGCCGGCCATAAATTTTATTATTTTTACTTAATTAAAATATTTAACTTTAATGCAATATCCATAATCGAAGTTATCCAAAATGAGTTTAGTTTTCGGACATTTTATTTGTTTACTAGACCAATTTTAGCTAAATCTTCTGCATCCATACCGTAAAATTTCGTTCTCTTCATAAAGTCTGAATAATAAGCAAATTCTGTAATCATCGATTGTATTTGTTTTAATAAGGTAGGATCGAATGGACATAACTTAAAATGAAACATTCTGGCAAAATTCGGTTTAATAACAGTTATCCCTTCCGTACCACTAAAGTCTGCCATCAGTTGAATAACTTCATTAATATCAGCGAGTCTTGTTTCTTTCTCGTCGTTGCAACTCAACAAATCGTTTTCGAAATGTTTCAAAGCTTTGATAACTCGAAGTAATCTTTTCCAGCTTTCAAGGTGCTCCACAGTCTCTCTTTTAATTATATTTCTGTTGGCGAAATGATCCTGTTTCTGAAAAATCGAGAGAAAACCGATTTTGAAATTATTTCTTGTAATAGAAGAAATTATAGAATGTGTAGGGTGATTCACTTGAGATTGAACATTAGCTGTGTGAATTATCNGTCACGTTCGATTATTACTGCATGCAGCAACATACACACATTTCTCTATAACGTCTGTGTTTGCCATGAACTGTGAATATATACATATATATACATGTTACACAAAAAGTATCCCTGACAACAAAATTCTGTTTCCAGATTTGAATTTCCCATGATAAATTAGTTTAGAATCACACATTTTAATATCAGAAATAGAACCCTTGTCAAACAGTGTAATTATTCATAATCTATCGTGACATTTGTTATCAGTCTGCATTTTATATTTCAATTCTGTTTAAATTCGAATTCGATTTTTGGGAGGAGCAAGGGAACACGGGCGACTGACACATACATCTTAATAATACTATCTATGGATAATTGGCTCTTATCTTATGTGTTAGGCAGGCGAATAAAACTCAGAAAACTCAACAGTTAAGTAAATAAATTCGACTACAATTAGAAGAAATTCTGGTTTAATTGGATTGGATTAATTTGATAAAATAAGGCAAAGCAACTGTTGGGCGATCTGCTAAAAGTGGGGTACCTCCCGGAAAGACTTACTACCGTTGGAACCTATTTGAGTTTTAGCCAAGTGAAAAATTTTAGAAAATTTCACGTAGTCAGACCTCTTCACAAAATTTCACCAGTTATTGGCGTTCAGTGGTTTTAGCTAGTTGTGGTTTTTTTTTTTCAGATACACTGTAGAACCTCGATTATCCAAACTAATTTGGAATGAAGGTAGTCCGGATAAGGAAAAATCCGGATAATCGAAACAAATACTTTAATTTGTCTTTTAATGATAATACAACACGTTTTCTTTTCGATGACATATCAGTAATATTAAAAGTAAATACTGTATTTAAATCGTGATCAAATTTTCAAGAAACAAATGTT